ATTTTCACACACATTGTGATCAATTTGTAGTACTGGTGTAAATGCTCTGTTTGGTTCAAGTGCCTTAATTACACTTTGCAAATCTGATGTTTTTCTTTATGTAAATTATTTAATCTGCAGAAATCTGTTGGTTTAGATGTGGAATAATCAGTGTCTCTAAACCAAAGTAAGCACCTCTGGTTTTGGCACAAAATGCTAGTAATAGATTCCACTTATTCCCTGCTACAGTTATAAATGGTAAACTGCAGGCCTTTTAAGAAATTCCCCTGTGGTGCAGCTAGCAGGAGATTGCTCAATTGTATAATAATCAGATCTGACCAGATGGTGATGAGGCTGGGTACTAAATGCTTTTTAAGTTCTCCTGCTAGGTTTTCTCATTTAAAAGTGGAGAAATCCCACTTTAAGGACTACATGATTTCAAAGACTCCTTGCTATGAGGCATACAGAAGTGCCTATTCTGTCATATGCAACAGCACTTCACATTTTCAGGCAATGTAGGGAAGGATCACGACTTATTTAAAATGTCAGTGTGCTGTTGTTCATGAAGAGTACCAGCCTGATAGCTCTGAAGAATAAAAGTTAGTTAGGGAACACATGAAGATTAGATATGGGGAGTAGACGGTAAGTACTCTATTTATCAGTGCTTCATCTTTGTCCAGCTGCAGTGTCACAATCTGGGAGCAAAATCTCATAGCTGAAGGGTGTACACTTCAGGTTGGGTTCTGCTTACCAATGGAAGGCCTACACTGAGGTGTTCCATGGAGGTACAGAAGTAGAGAGACATGGGTGAGCCAGGTATCTCTGCTCCTGCTGTAGTCAATGGAGATGAAATCAGCACAGTCAATGAAGATCAGAGAGTTCTTAATCTCATGAAAGATGAGAGAGCTATGTAAGCAGGCACCTCCACTGACTGTATTGACTAGGTCTCCATCAGCAATGATGGGAGTTTAAATACCTAACGCACATGACAAATAGCTTCTTTGGTCACCTGCATGTGGGTTGTTAATCACTGAACTGCATCTCATCCCTTATTCCTTTTCAGTTCATGCAGGGGTATTTCTGATAGTTTTGGGAGCTGTGCAGATCTTATACAAAAGCTTCTTGCAATCCAGGGCTGGCTCTGAACAGTCAAAAAATTGTCATCTTAGCTTGTTGAGTTCTCTGGTTCTGTTTACCATACTCGGATTCTTTGGGTTTAGGCTTGATAGGATTTGTTTTTTCCAGTATTAATCAGCTAACAGAAATGCTACTGTTTGAAGAAAGCTTCGGTACAGCTCCTTCTACCGAGTCTGATTTACATGCAGTAGCAGAAACCTTGTTAGCCTTTTTAGATCTATCTGTAGAGTTGAAGGCTTTTAAAATCAGTAAAAAAACCTTCTTGCCTTAAGTTAGCAGTAGGTTACCTTTACCCAGAACACAAAGGTTATCTCTGAAGCATTTTTAAATTGTTTGGCTACTTTAGGCATTTTCAGTGAAGCAGTCCAATCTGCACAGAAGAAGCAAAGGTAACAGAGAACAAGTAAACAATTAGCTTGCGTGGAAATCTATTCTATTCTTCAGGGACCTGGGTAGAATGGGATTTCTCACAACGAAATAACTAGGAAATCTGCATGTACAACATCTATTCCAATATATGAATAAAAGTGTGAGTTTTGGGTGGTATTATACCTTGTGCATCACACATGTAGTGTACTTCACGAAGATTTCACAGCACAGATTACTTTCAGTTTATTGCTTTGTTTATTTGTTCTCTTCAGTGTCTAACACTTAAGATCTGAATTATTAAGAACTGGAGTGTGACGTCTGGCATTGGTGGCTTGATTTCGAGGATTATTGAGTCGCCTTTAAGTTGATGAACATATGGGTACTCCCAGTCTGAAAAACACACCTTTCCAGAAAGAGAAGTTACTGTGATCACCTAGAACACAAAATTTTGCCCCCAGTCTTTATGTACCTCACCTTTATTTTATTTTATTTTATTTTATTTTATTTTATTTTATTATTTTCCTTTATTTATTTTCCAAAACAATTACACTTTCATAGATGGCCTTGCTATTTCAGGTGATTTTGTAACCTGACACAGGATGCTATATTTTAAGCTTGTATCTTTTATGGGCAATAACTAATATCCCAAAGGAGATTTTGCTTCTTAATTTAGCAACTCAGATTTGACACTAGATTTTTCATTTTATTTTATTTAAAGTGAAGAAGCTCATACCCTGTTCTTGCAAAGAATATTATTTCTTGTGATTCTAATATATTGTGTTTAGTGAAAAAGATCTTTCCCCCGTCTAGTGATGACAGGCTGAAACCTGAAGTGCAATGAATCTATTCTGTGCCAGTTCTGTGTCTCCTGGTGGTACCACTGCTGTGATGCAGTCTCCAGACACTCTGTCTGCTGTCACTGCATGTCTTCTATTCCTCCTTTCCTTTTTTAGATTTTATTTAATACTGTTGACCTATATGTACATCACACATTTTGCTGCCTCCATGCATTCCTTCACTGTGTTTAACATTTTCTCTTAAGCCAAGAAAAAATTCTCTCTAATTCTCTGAGCTCCTTTTAAAAAAATTATTCTGCTTTTCCCTAGACTAAACCAAAGGTTCATGTTTAAACAGAGGAATACATTCTTGTTACTTAAGTTGCTTACACGTGAAAGCTCAAGTACCTGCTAGATCCTATTGCTCAGGATCTATTCAGCACAATATGTAGTAAGAGTTGCTACTAGCAAAGGCTAGCTATTGTTCTAACATTAGGGTTTTGTTTTCTTTTTAAAACATCTTTCTGCAGTAAGAGGTCTGAGGAAACAAAAAAAATGAAGTGCTCAAAAAAAAGTAAAAATACTTTGAAGTTGCAAAGCTTCATCTAAGATTGGGACTCACCTACACAGTAACTCTGCACATCCTATCGTAACTGCTGACACAACAACCTAATTATTAAATTTTCAAAGGTGGTGTAAAACTTTAGTCATATAAGAAACTTCTGTCAGTGTGATGCCAACAAGGCCACTGGCCCTTTCGGTTTGTGCTCCTCTTAATAGTATTGGCAGAGGACAAAAGCGGTAGCTGCTGGACAGCACAGCTGAGTTATCGCTTTTGGCAGGTGAATTGTTAATTTCCCAGTCAGCATGTCTTGTCTGACAGCTGCCACCCTGCCCAGAGGAAGAGAAGGTGGCCTGGCTGGGCAGCATGTGCTGCCAAAGCTCCTGGCACCCCTCCAGACGTGGGCAAATGGGGTGTCTGGGCTGCCCACAGATGCATGAGCCTGGAGCCGTGGCTTGGCTTGCACAGGGGTTTAACCTCCTCCTGCTGGCAGGAAATTCAGCAAGAAATGCCTTCAGCTCCCAGGCAAAGGATGCCACAGTCCTGCAAGCTGCCCTAGAGCAATTTGCAGCATGTCATGGGGAGGACAGGGCAGTGCTTAGATGCAGCTTTGCCTGTGCGCTATTTTTGCCCTTTTTTGTCTAGAGAAGTAGCTGACTGCTGTAAGTGTAAGGGAAGGAAACCAGTGCTGTGCTTGTGTCCTCCTTGCAGGAGTGTATGCGGGAAAGACACTTTACAGTCTATGGTGCAATAAACCCATGCAGGGAGAGGCTTACATAGTACTCTGGGACTGAAGGTTCATCCCCCACACCCTTCATTTCCTTTTGGGAATTAAGTACACCACAACAGGACACGTGTAGCCTCTGTTTTCTTGTCTCCCTGCCTTGTTGTGATTCTGCAAGCTCTGATGTGATTTTTGTGAGATTAGAGATTTTTTTTCTTGCGGCATGAATTTAGTTTATTATCTGCCATAGCTGTGGCTGTCAGGCTCTGGCTCTTGTTAACAGCAGAGCCTTCAATATCCCACAACTTACTTATCACAGATGTTTTACTTAAGAATAATTCCTTCCCCTTCAGAGTTATCACTCCTGTGTATTTCTTACATTCAGAGCTGACCCTACCACAGACACAATTCCTTAATGCCAAAATTCTACTCTGGCAGTCTTTATTTCGCCGTTTCTCCATGATGTGGTGGGGTTTTTTGTTTTGTTTGTTTTATTGGTTGGTTGCAGGTTTTTTTACACAGTATTTTTCAAAAAGCTGAATGTCTGCTCTCCCTCTTTTTTTTTTCCCCCATAATCTCATTTATGTACTTTTATATTTCATATGTTGAAAAAATTGCACCAGTTGGTACATCTTCTGAAAAGATATGCACTGATTAGAGGACTTGCTGATCTACCAGCCATTGAATAATTATATCCTCAGGTGGGTAAATTGCACCAGAATAAAGTGCTTTTTAAAGTGATATTCAGATGAGTTTCTGAATATTTTAATGTTTGTTTGTATACATATTTGGTGTGAAAGATTGGTGGCTAAGGCTTTAAGTTAAAGCAAAACCAGTATTCCAGGGGACAAAGAAGTTACCAAAATGAGAAAAGCTTTTACTGCCAGAAAGAAGAAACAAATAAGATGAAGATGTGTACAGTCCTGAAACTGTGCCTGATGGAAAGAAGCAGCTGTACTAACCCTATATATCATCCAGCTCTGCAATACAAAAAGAGCACTTTGAAAAATTAAAAACTAGCTTTAATTAAGCTATTGAAGTATGAAAATCTACTTAAGGGCTTATTGTCAGCTAAGAAACAGAAGACGTGCTGATGGGTTTCAGGTGAATGAGGATGCTGTGGTAGTCTTCAATGTAACATGTAGTTTTGCTAAAAATTAAAATGAGCAAATCTGAAGAGGTTAATTAGAGCATTCAGCAGCAGACAATGCCTAGTGGAAGCTACTATTTCAGCTGAAGGAAAAGTGGTGAACCAGGCAGGGCAAGACAGCTTAGGTTTGCTACTCAAGAGCACGGTAGCCATTTTTGCAGGAAAGAAAAGGAATTAACTGGCCTTAGCAGTTGCCTCCCCAAGACACAGAACTGTAAAACTCATATTTTTGGTACAAGATACTGTGTTTTTCTATGCAAAGATGATGAATGCTTACCTATCTTGTTGGTGGTGTCCTTTTACCTTTTTAATATCATATGGTTTGTTAAGCCAGATAATTCATGTTAGATTAGTTTCTTGAGCATCAGAAAGTTAACTGAGTTTTTCCAGCATGGAAAACATGGATGTTTTCCAACATGGACAGGGTTTTTAATCAATACCTTATTAGCAAATCTTTCAAATTTAAACCTTGTTCTTGCCATTCAGTTCCTGACAGAGAAGTTGCAGGTATATTGATCCAATTTCTTTTTAACTTCAAATTTTGGGATAAAACCATCTCTAGGCACACATAAGATTATTTTAAGTCTATGCCAAGGATTCTTTTGCAGGACCACAACAAATCTACTCCTAAAACAAGAGTGAAATGAAACAAAAGGGAATCCTGTTCCACTTATCTAAACCTTCAGATAATTGTCAGGACTCTGTCAAAGCAGTTCACAACCCCACCCTTGAGGAAGATTGGCTGGAAAGCTGCCTAGCAGAAAAGGACCTGTGGGTGCTGGTTGGCAGCCAACTGAATATTAGCCAGCAGTGGGCCTATGTGGCCAGGAAAGCTGATAGCATCCTGTCTTGTACCAGAAATACTGTGGTCAGCAGGGTCGAGGCAGTGATCATCCCCCTGTGCTCATCACTGCTGAAGCTGCACCTCAAATTCTGTGTTCAGTTCTGGGGCTTTCACTGCAAGATGGACATTGACGTGTTGGAGCAGGTACAGAGAGTAGCAACAAAGCTGGCAAAGGGCCTTGAGCACAAGACTTATAAGGAGTGGCTGGGAGAGTTGAAGAAATTTAGCTTGGAGTAAAGGAGGCCCAGGGGAGACCTTATCACTGCAAAAGTCCTGGTGTGTCTTTTGGTGTTGCATATAGGTGTTTCAGCCATAATAATAATTATTTTTGTGGCATGATAATGACCTGAAGACTTCAAGCTTGTAGAATGTATACTGAAGAGAGAAAAAGCCACTTGAAAGCAAAATGCAGATGTTGCAGCTGCTCACAAGGAGTCATGCTGCCCTCATTTTTTTAGTTCATTGGGAGATTCACCTTTCTCTGCTCAAATTCAAACTGTGTTAATGCCAGTGCTCTCTGGACTTTCAGAGTATGTGAAAACAGAACTAAAGCACAAGTTAATCTGCAGAACTCTGAGGCCGATAAACATCTCACTATAATTTGAAAGGTGGTACATCTTAGTGGCTGCTAGAATTCAGTTTATGTGGCATTAGACTGTGCATTTTCCTTGGATTATGAAACGAAAAAGATATCTAAAATAAGTGCCTGTAATAGTATTTAGAAGCTTCAAGTTAGCTTAACAGCATTGCAGACCAGTGTCCTTGCATACAATAAATGTCTAATGGAAAAAAAAGATTGATATAGAGAAAGAAAATAGACTTTGTTTTTGAATTAAGATTGTGGATACATCATTGGAAGTTTCAAGGAATATCTTGTTTGTGTTTGTCTTGGTTAACAGAAGTAGAACATATACTGAAGATGCTAGATATTCACAATATAGAGAGACATCAGCTGATCCCGACTGATGTAACAAAAGTGTGTATATTTCAAAGAAGGTTGCATAACAAAAAACTCTCTGTCCAAGGGTTGGAAATATCTGTATGAGGGACTGGAACAGCAACATTTCTGAACAGCTACCTGCAGCCACAGGAACATGCTGGCCACCCAAAGACTTTGACTTATCTTTGAAGAAGTCTGCAGGGATCAAAAGTTAAGATGCAGGATCTGATCAACTGCTGCAAAAGTTTTGACCTGTACAGATGTGCAGAGGCAGCATAGAACAGCTGGCTTGAAAGTGCCTAGCACCAAGGGCTTCATTAGGGCTGCACCTTGAGCATTTAATGACTGTGATCTTGGGGAAAATTTAGTAAGGTCAAAAGGACACTAAAAGATCTATGTGTTTGCAGTAAAGTGCTTATTGTCATAATGCCTTATCTAACGGCCTCAGTGTCTGTGCCCTGATCCATTTGTTTCTTTTGTCTGCAGTACTCTATAAGAACATATAACTATGTATTATAGGTGAAACAAAAAAATAATGACCAATAGTTTAAAAAGCATTTTCTGTGCCTGTGCCTGAAAACAAGTGTAGCAATTTCATCACCCGCTATGTCTTTCAGGCGCATATAAACAGCATTCTCTGTTGGTTTAGGTCAGCAAACTTTTACAGGTTTAGTGTGGAGCCATTGAAAGGGGAAATTTTGACTCTTCCAATGTCGAAGATGTAGTTAAAATTATTTAGTAAACTTTGTGAAGCTGCACTTCATGCATTTAAACAAACTAATCTCTTTACACCTATGAGAAAAAGCAATATGAATTTAGAGCCACGTTAATCTTTGCAGTTTGCCATGAATAATGCATTTGTTTGTTTCTGCATGCTATCTGATAATATATGGTAAAGTATGTTCTACCTCTCTGGCATACACATTGCAGATTTTGTGTAATGTATTATGCATGAAACTTAGTTGGAAAGTTTTATTTTGGATTTTGTTTTTTTTTTTTAAGTGCATTTTTCATGTGTGTGAGTGGAGCCAGACCTTCCCCTTTTCACCATCCTTCCCACCCGCCAGCAGGTGTCCCCCCAAATAGTTCAGCCGCGTTTTGCAAACAGGTAGAAGCTTGGAAGGTAGCTAAGCTCTCAAAGCTTTGTGAAAACAGATAGCTTGGGGAGGAGGAAGTCTCAGGAAGAAGCTCAGCTGAGGGATGTCAGGTTACAGGATTCCAGGTAATCCTGGGTGGACAGATCTGATGAGGGGCATACAGCAGCAATGTGAACTGCTTTAGATTCCAAGAGCAGTGAAGCGTAGCTGTAGCTACAATCCCCAGTGAGTCCAAGTGATTCTATAACCTGATGTCACATCCTAACATTAAACCACATCTTTGTGGCCAATGTATGCATGAAAGGACGAAGTTTTCAGTGCAAAACTTGGAGCTTACTTTCCGCCAGCATACATAACTTCTGAGATACAAGATTATTCTAGATTTAAATCCAAAGGAAACTGGGCTTTTTCAGTGGCCGTACTTGTGGAAATACATGATTTTCTTCTTTTCTTCTTTTATTAAATTTTAAAAGATGATAACATTGTTCTGGAATGGAAAAGTCATCATCCAGGTGGATGCAGCGATCTGCAGAGCTCTGCTGTGCCACAAATTGAAGTTCAAGTAAAATTTTCCTCTGCCACTTTTTTTTTTTTAATATTTTATCTTTACTCCTGCATGAAATGAAGATATTCCTCTGAAGGAGGAAATAGAATCACATTTATGCTGTTGTATTGCTGCTGTAGTAAAATAGAAATATATCAAGAGGGTAGGGGAGAGAAAGAGTTAGTGAAACATACTGTCATACTCTTCAGGTTTCTTGCTAGGCATGATCCTTCTCTCTGAGCCATACTGGCTACTGCATGACCAGCAGGTCGAAGGAGGTGATCCTGCCCCTCTACTCTGCTCTCGTGAGACCTCACCTGGAGTATTGTGTGCAGTTCTGGTTTCCTCAACATAAGAAGGACATGGAACTGTTGGAACAAGTCCTGAGAAGGGCCATGAGGATGATCAGGGGACTGGAGCACCTCCCGTATGAAGACAGGCTGAGAAAGTTGGGGCTGTTCAGCCTGGAGAAGAGAAGGCTGTGTGGAGACCTCCTAGCAGCCTTCCAGTATCTGAAGGGGGCCTACAAGGATACCAGAGAGGGCCTCTTCATTAGGGTCTGTAGCGACAGCAGGGGTAATGGGTTTAAACTTAAAGTAGTGACTGTAGGACAAGGTGTAATGGGTTTAAACTTAAACAGGGGAAGTTCAGTTTAGATATAAGGAAGAAGTTCTTTACTGTGAGGATGGTGAGGCACTGGAATGGGTTGTCTAAAGAAGTGGCAAATGCTCCATCCCTGGCAGTGTTCAAGGCCTTGAGCGAGATGATCTAGTGTGAGGCATCCCTGCCAATGGCAGGGGGTTTGGAACTAGATGATCTTAAGGTCCTTTCTAACCCTAACCATTCTATGATTCTGTAATAGCTGAGAATTAGGCTGTTTGTTTGTGCTGTGTCAGGTAAGTCTCTGAATAATTTCCATCAAGAGGGTGATTTTTTAAATGGACTTGAAAAGCCAAAGCTAAAGGTGGACATTTCATAAAATAAGCAATTAAAATACCAACAAAACCAGATCTGTCTTGTTCTTGTCAAATACTCTATTTTTATTGCATCGTATTTTTTGTGTTGACAGTATGCCTACCATAGAAAGCACTATATCCTGTAACTACAGGAACAGGTAAATCACGTGTCACATTAAATAAAATGTAATAACATAATTTGTTTTTCTATCAAGTGATATAGTTAATAATTACTTAAATAAAGCACCAAATACAAAACCAAACTATAAAATTCCATTATACTAAATGGTACAACTCCATGACAAATAGGTATAAGTTTTTCAAAAATACCTCTATTTAGGTGTTCAATTACCCATAAGGATTCTGACTTTTTTTTTCTCCCACTGTATCGGGAGGAAACAGATCTGCCAGATCAACACCTGGGAACTTTATTCCATTCATAAATGCGTAGTATATTAAAATAGACAGTCAGTTCAGTTTGACAACTGAAATATTTAGATTTAAGGAAACCTAAAAGAAATTTTTTTGTTTTTTTCCTCCTGACTGAAACAGAAGAGAAAAAAATAAAAAACTTTCCTGTGGAAAAAAATGATTTTTAAAATTTATTTATTTATTTATTTATAAATAAAATTACATTTTACGTATTCCTGAACAAGTGATAATTTTAGGATGGTTTCTTTTTTAGGAAGCAGTGCAGTATATTGCTTTCTGGTGACTATTCCACAGAGGGAGAAAATAACTCGTTACTGGTTCAGCTAACTGAGCTCTCTTGAAGTGAAGTAGTAGAGGTCAGTGATTTTGCCACAAAAGCACTGGGCTCCAGCTCATCAGCAAATACTGGGTGGGTGAATTTTTCACTATCAATCAAATCTGTTTGCAACATATAGATTTCAATATGCCCCAGATTACTGACTCATATTTTCAGGAAGTCATTCATTCCCCTAAACTTATTTTTTTTACCAGTCCTTACACCAAAGAGTTAAAATGAGACAAATGTCCTTGAATAAATTAACACCTGCAGAATAATGACTTAAAGTAGAAATTTAATGTTCTGAGCTTCTCTGTTACCTTCCTGACTTGAATTACTTCCCTGAAATTTTCAGAATCCATGCTTATGTTTTCTTGTTGTTATTGAAACAATAAAAATAATGCTTCATGGGCTTCTTTAGAAATGACAGAAGTTTTATATTTTACATTTCAAAAATGTAGTTATGATCAATTTCAGTTGAAACCGTGAGTATTCAGCACTTCCACAAAGTGATATCTCAGGTGTCTAAAAAAAA